GAGATGGATGTTGCGGCTGTCATCACACTTTTGACATCTGGCCACCAGGGCTCATGGCAGATCCAGCATCCTCTTATGCGTATCAGAGACACCCTCCGCTCGATCCACTATCAGGTCACACACATATTCCGGGAGGGGAATCATCCTGCTGATTTCCTGGCTAGCACGGGGGCATCTATACCCCAGAGACGCATCCTTCTTCCTGAGGACATTCCCCTCCGGCTTCGGACGCTCATTCGGATGGACCAGTTAGAGTACCCATCATTCAGATTTGGTCGACCGCCACCACCTGCCCCTGACTAGATTTGATATTTTGGACTTCATGCCAGGTCACTCTGACCAGGACGACCTTTTATGAGGATTTGTTTTTAGATCCACATCAGATATTTTGTGATCCTTGTATTTTTATTTTTATTTTTTATTTTTTCGTTTTATTATTTTGCGTCTCGTTGTATTGTCGACTTGGATGTAGACATTGACTTTTTAGTCCATCAGGGCCATTATATTCACAGGTCGGGGGTGTAGCCTCAACCCCCCATCCCATCCTGGGATGTTTTTTTTTTTTAAAAAAAAAAAACATAAATAACTATGTGTAATATAAAATCTTAGAAAATGTTTTAAGTAAAAAGCTCGTCCGTGCATCGCACGAGATACACACTAGTTAATATAAATTTACCATATCAAAAATAATGATTAGATACATTAAATAGTTTTATTAATGGTAAAAAATTAAAAATGAAATATTTTAGTTGTTCTTTAGAATTTATTTGTGTATTATTAACAACCATGATTTTTTTTTTATCAAAATGAAATAATTTAGTTGTTCTTTAAAATAGATTATAATCCTATTGTTTTTTAGACTTAACACGCTGATAAAAAGATGTGAAAAATAGATGATAACCCTATTGTTTTTTAGACTTAATCGTATAGAGCCTGTTAAATTAACTCATTTAATATCTCTGTCCCTTGCATCGCACGGAGTATGTACTAGTTTTTTCTAAAAAATACAAAAGAAAAAAAGGATTTATGTTGGAATGTGTATAGAACGATGAGTGAAACAAATGACCAACAGAAATTAAGACAGAATTAAGAGGATCTATTCATTTGAGATTTTAAAAAAACATAAAATGTGAAGAGTTATTCATTTGAAAGTTTAAAAATTGTTAAAAAGTCTTGGGGTTTTTAATTTTATTTAGGAGGAAATTACAAAGGCAAATTTATAGTAGAAATCTCATCAATTTGTAAGATTTATTTGACTTAAGTTGCTATAACCTTTTTTTTTACCTAAAGAGTTTAATGTATACAATCATACAAGTATGAGTCCGGTGCAGTGCACGGATAAGAGATATTCACTAATATTTATAAATTGAAATTTTTTATTAAGTAATATTTAGAAATTAAAAATATGAAATCAATATGTTATACAATTACCTATTCTAATTGATTGAATATGTTATATAAAGTTTAAATTGTACAAAATTACATAAAACTGTCTATTTAAAATTAGTTGAGTAATATATTAAATTATAAATAATTGACTATTTCGTTTATGTCGAAGTTAATATTGACCAATTGAGTAATTTATTAAAGTATAAATAATTGACTATTTCATTTACGTCCAAGTTAATATTGACATGCAAATTATAATTTTTTTTTTTAACATTAGGTCGGTAAACAGCAAACCATCAATAGGCATACAACGATACCAAATCGAATGTGGATGGTTCGTCTGCCGACTTTTGATTGTCAAAAAATGGTTCGGTTCGGTTCAGTTCAATATTTTTGCGAGTCGGTTTGAAGTAGATCAGTTCAATTTTTTTTCAAAAAAAAAATAAAAATAAAAATTGTCAGCCCTAATTCATTTACATAGAAATGCTCCCCTACCCACGGTGGACACACGTTAATATGCCCACCGTGTAGGTGGCATGCTCTCATTGGTGATGTTAATATGTTTAAAAAATACATTACCAATGAGTGCATGTCACTAACGCGGTGGGCATATTAACATGTACCCACCGTGGGTATAGGTGAGCATTTCTCTTCATTTACAATCTTAATATGTTTCATTTTATCCAGGCACAACTTTCTACATTCTTATGGCATTTTTCTGAGTGAGATAACAATTTTCGAAATAAATATTACTAGTATTAATATTCATGTACAACATGGGTGTTGAGTTAATGAATATATGTGTAAAGTTATTTATGTCTAATAACAAACTTAACTCCAAAGCAAAAATAATTTAAAAACATCACGAAGCATAGACTTTCGCCATGTCAGCATCCGAAACGTGAAATTCTGCCACCTAAGCTCGACACATTTTGAATTAATATATAGGGAGGAACATCCCATTAATTCCTAAGGTCCTTTTTCCTTTTAAATCTTGAAGCAAACAAGTAGGATTATTATAAAAAATACTTTATTATCCACACCTCTCCCAACCTAACGGGGCGACATTGCAATAAAACAATCTGGTGAGAAACTGGTTTGATCTTTTCGTAAAATAACCTTTCAATAAACATGCAGAAAGTTACAATGAAATTTTATTAAAGTATGAAAAACACATAAATATTAAAATCTTGGGAAATGCTACAGTTCCTTACGGAACCATTCCGTCGGGTTGTAACCGTTAGATCATCATGTAACTGTCGAGGATAGTTGATCTAACGGTTACAAAGTATCTTTAAATCATCATGTAACTTTCCCCTTTCTCCAATCCCAGCACTTGAGAACTCTCGAACTCACCTTTCTCCTTTTTCCCTTAGACCCAACAGCCTCGTCAGCCTCAACTTCACAAAGATCATTCTCTAATGCTCTAACCAAATTCTCAAAATAATTCCTCGTAACCGCAGTGAGACCCGTCAGCTTGGAACGAAACTCTCTAAACTCCTCCCGAGGATGTCTCTTCACAAGGTACTTTCTCATCTCCTTCTCAACGCAGTAGTGAAGCTTCTCGAGGGCCAGTTCGGCCTCCCCTTGCAAGTGCTCGAAAAAATCCAACTTAGCCGACCGCCCATTTTCTGCAAGGTAGTAGCCGTAGGTGTAAGACCATTTCAAGAAGCGCCTGCACTCGACCACCTGCTCCCAAGCCTCCACCACGAACCTCAGCCCGTCCTCAGTCTCGTCCTGAGTTTCAAAAAGCCTCTTCATGTACTTGGTTTTTGCAGTTTCCAGGTCGGCCAGAGCAATCCCCCTCGACTTGTTGTTCGAAGCCCACCTCTCGTAATAATGCATGTACCGTTGTAGGTAAGTCCTGATGTTTGAGACGAATCCAAATCCCACAAAAAAAAAAAAAAAAAAAAA